GAAGCTGCTTCACTCATTATTGGTGGCGGAGCGATTAGTTTCCGTTCGTTCTTGCGGATGCTGACAAGTCTAGAGGATAAAATACCTAGCATTCTTGTACACAATGGAGTGAAATAGTTCTTTGCGACTAAATTTAACGAACCGCTTTTTAAGGAAGGTGGTCGGAGTTTCTCCCTCTTCCAAAGGTGGTGGCCTTGGATCGACTAGAATACGCTTACCGACTATGCGTGCGCCCTGTTGCATCCGCTCATAACTGAGGAGGTGGGTGAAAGCATGAAGAACCTCTAGATCATCATCTACCTTAATGAAGGGGTAGCGGCCGGTGAGGAAGGTCAGAAATGTCACCCCCACAGCCCATAAGTCAACAGCTGTGGTTTGATGTGAAGAACGCAGGACTACCTCGGGGGCCCTGTAACCAACAGTGCCACCTCGACGAACGGGAGGGTGTTTGGGATAGCCCCGACAACTGCGACACAAGGTCAGGCGGTTACCGCAGACACATTGCTCTTCTGTCGAACCACTCTTACAGAGATTACCGCTACCACTGGGGATGATCGAAGGAGGGGAGAAGGGAGACCCTCCTGTGGTGCTTGATCGGCGAGGTGTGCTCAAAGCGGAGCATAGCTGGGGCTTCACTGACGCAGATTTTACAAGAGATTTCGCTGGGAAATGCCGGAGGTTGTCAAGCTCCCTAAGGGAGGAGCTTCTGAGTGTGTAACTGTGGCGACTTTCTAGCGAAACGCGACTCTCGCGTTTGGACAATTGGCATGCAGATGAGGGATCCCACGACTTATCCACATCACCTTCGAATTGAGAGTGGGCGAGACCGAAATCTATGAGCGTATACCTTTTTAGATGACACGATAGATATGTATACGACAGGAATACTTTTGCGTACGTCGATCCAGCAGAAAATTGGAGGGTTTGACATCCCTATGAATAATGCCATAGCGGTGAACGTATTCCAGTGCTCGCAAGAGGTGCAGAAGGTATCTTCGTATGTCTTTTTCTTTGAAGGTCAAATAGTAACTCTGAATTGAAGCTAATTATAAGCAAATTAAGTACTGAAAAAGACACGTGATCAATGTAAGGCATAAGAATGAAGGTATGGTCACGAATTCGCATTGCTGACAACATCTTTACGACCCCATGTTTCCCACTTAAGAATAGTTTAAAGATAAAAGATTACTTCAATTGACGCAGAATTCGCAGCTCATTCTCTATTCGTCTGAGATCTGTAATCGGAATAATCATCTTTAATGCGTAGGGTTCGGATTCAGGAGCAGATTTATCCTTTACGGTAAAAACAGTGGCAAAAGTGCCTAATGATTGACACATAGAGGAGTCACAAGACTAACCTTGACCTTTCTTATCAACCACATCGAAAAGAGAGTTTATTTCTTCAAAACTCCGAACATGCTCCACGGTTCTTAATTTCGACATTATTAGACGGACACCCTGCGCCAAACCAATTGGACGCCAACGCCAGATTCATCCAATATCCACCCAATCAATTCCTAGCCGTTTTCCAACCATTAATATGCTCGCATTAACAATATCATTAAGAGATTCCGCAATTATATTTTGACCTGCCAGGCGAATACTAACCACGGCCATGGCAAACCACGGTTGCCTTTAAACATGCAGACCTGCAGGTCTAAAGTAAGTTTCTGTATTTCAACTGTATATTTAGTTTTAGCTAAGAAAATGCGTTTGTGGTTCAGTATTTATTAGACACCAAACAATAAATTCCATTGGCAAATCCAGTTTCTGTAGCTCAAATTGTGAAATCGGGCGCAATGTTTTCATTAAAAGGAGGAAATCTTAATTGTTTTAAAAAAAGCCACTTGAAATTTGAAACTTCTCGTAGGCACCATGTAATTTTTTAGTCATACAGAACGACACTAATTATTGAGTATTAATGAAACACCGCCTGCAAACATAAAAAAATGTGTTTGGATAAATCGATTTCAAGGATAAATGTTAGGTCACAAAATCTGCAGCTTCACTCATTCTCTCACAACTTCACTGGTCGCGGCATGAATGCTTCTAGGGTTAATGTTGGTGCTGGCAAACTTTCGCATCACCTGCAGGTAATTTTATATCTGACCATGTAAGTACTCTGCAAGAATGCACAAAACCGGCTTCTTCTGAAAGGAGGTACAGTGGTCAACGATGATCGCATGTTTCCCGCTGACGTCTATATCGAGGATGGCATCATCAGGTTCGTAATGTGCTCATTTCTTATTTGCACAAAATTTAGACAAGTAGGACTAAACTTGACTATCCCTGGCGGCGTACGAACAATCGATGTGCATGGAAAACTGGTTATGCCCGGTATGACGATACTGTTTCTCATTCGACTCAATCCTAGGTGGTATTGATTCCCATACCCACATGCAAATGCCATTCATGGGGACATATTCAGCCGATGATTTTTATTCTGGTACCAAAGCCGCATTGGCTGGGGGCACCACTATGATAAGTAAGCTATTTTAGCCTAAAGGCTTCTAATTATTTTATTCTTTTTAGTTGATTTCGTCTGTCCCAGGCGAGGCTCTTCCATTTTGGAAGCCTACGAGGAATATCGTCAAAATGCTGACAGTAAGGTCTGCTGCGATTATGCTCTCCACGTCATTGTGCCACATTTTGACAACAAAGTTGTTGAAGAAATGGGGATCTTGACGAAAGAGAAGGGAGTGAACTCCTTTAAAAGCTTCCTCGCCTATCCTGACATCTTCATGCTTGAGGATGACCAGCTTTACGATTTCTTTGTTCGTTGTCGTGAACTTGGTGCTATTGCTCAAGTTCATGCTGAGAATGGGAAACTTATTGCTCGTAAGCAGGAAGAGGTAGTTAAGAAAGGCATTCTTGGACCGGAAGGACATTCCTACTCACATCCTGAGGAGGTGAGATGAGAATAGTAATTATTTGGCATTTATTAGTGTGAAATAGAGGCTACTGGGAGAGCCATAACCCTGGCTGATGCCGCCAACTGTCCTCTTTACGTTGTGCACGTGATGAGCGCTGGTGCTGCGCAAAAAATTTCTGATGCGAGACAGGCTGGCATTTTGGTTATTGGAGAGGCGGTTGCTGCCGGTTTGGGTACCAATAGTAGCCACTACTTCAACAATTGCTGGCGTCATGCCGCGGGCTATGTGATGAGTCCACCACTTAGGAGTAGCGGCACTGAAATTAAGCTCATGAAAGCACTTGCAAACGGCCACCTAGAGTGTACCGGAACTGATCATTGCGTCTTCAAGGCGGATCAGAAAGCCCTTGGAAAGGATGATTTTAGAAAGATTCCAAACGGAGTGAATGGTGTGGAGGATAGGATGTCGGTTATCTGGGAGAAGGGAGTTGTGAGTCTTGATTCTTTTTTACCTTTTTGGATGCTAGTCCTTGATTTTTGTTCTTAGTTTCGTGTTTTCATTCATAGACCGCAGGTATCATTGACCCCTGTAAGTTTGTGGCGATAACGAGCACCAACGCGGCAAAGGTGTTCAATATCTACCCACGCAAGGGTCGAATCGATGTGGGTTCTGATGCAGACATTATAGTGTGGGATGGTGAGGCAACCAGAACTATTTCAGCTTCGACACACCACCAAAACGTTGATTTCAACATTTTTGAAGGCATGGTTTGTCATGGTGTACCTCAGATCGTGATAACTAATGGCCATGTGGTGGTGGAAGAAGACGGCTCCTTGAAGGTCAGTCAGGGAACTGGACGTTTCATTCCTACACCTGCCTTTTCGCCCTATGTCTATTCCAAAGTTAAGGCCAGAAGCAAGGTGAGTTTACCTCTTCCCCGTCCATATCTATTTACTTTTTTTGGGACCGGTATCAACAAATGAAGTCTTTTATTGTTCAAGTTGCGGGAAGTGGAACCGGTGATACGCGAGCCCTACACGGGCCCAGTAATCGACCTTTCTGCGGCCTTGCAATCTATGGATGTGAATAAGGCGGGAATCTCAGCAAATGCAGTTGGTGACCAGCAAAAGGACGCTCACTTCAGTCAGTTTCATCACAGGCCTCCAACCAGCTCGGGCAGTCGAAATATGCAGGATTCGAGCTTCTCTCTGAGTGGTGAGTCATTTAATCGGTCTGTTATTTTGAATCCGATTTTCGGTCGTGCGGTTGCGTTACTAAAGTGGTGAACGTCCTTTCCGTCCGTTGGATTGATTATTCACTTTCATAGCTTGTTCAGGGCAGAAGACAACTCCAGCATTGCGGTAGGACTTCCACTCCTTCAGTAAAGTTTACGTGCCCAGTCATCTACTTTTGCTGGTTTAAGACTATTCCACACGATTTTGTACATTCACAGCTCATTAATAAACTTTATTCTCAACGCCGTAACGAATTCCGGTTTCAGGCGCTTTTTTTGATCCACCTCCACAACGCAAAGGTAAGACAGTGTGTGTGTGTGTGTAGCCAACCACTCGTGCCGACTCACTTTGTGGTAGTCCTTTTTCTTAAGTAGTTTGCTGCTTTTGTTCAAGAATAGCACCTTTTCATTTCAAACAACGGTTTGTGGTGATCTCATGGTTAGTGTTTAAACACTAACTCAAGGGCTTGACAGTCAGACAGTTTCCTTGCAATTTGTTTTTAGCTTGTATGGCTTTTGTTCCGCTTCTACCATTTTATGTCGTCACTGAGCCCATTATTCCCCTTGCAGGATCTCAATTCGATGACTCGTTACCGTCACGCACCTCAACACGCACGATGCAACCACCAGGAGGGAAATCGACTTCACTTTGGTAGAACACGGAGGTTCTTTCATTTCGTTAGTCACGATACTGTTTTGATGACACACCTCCGTATCGCATCGTCTCCCCTACCC